GTTGAAGGGCAGCGACGCGGAGGCGCGGACCGACGGCCCGTCGCCGCCGCCGGCGGCGACGCCGACGTTGCCGTGGGCCGTGTCGTGCAGCCCACAGAGCCCCAGGACGGCCCCAGAGGCTCCCGAGAACGCCCCAAGACGGCCCGAGACGACCCCAAGACGGCCCCAATGCGACCCAAGCGGGCCCCCCAGACGGCCCAAGAGGGGCACAGGAAGGCCCAGGAGGCCCCGACAGCCGGCCCTGGCAGCATTCCAAAGTCCCGAAGTGTGGAACCGATGTTTCTGGGCTTCGGCACGCCTTCCCAGGAAGCCGCGGAGACGGCCCCGGGGCCCCGAGCCCGAGCGGCCCCGGACGCCGCCCCCTGGCGCTCCCCTTGCGGACCTGTGCCGACGCGGAGCGGACGCTCACGGCTGGCCGCCCGCACGACGTGGCAGGCCAGCCACGGCGGGATGCGGTCGTGCATGCGGGCCACGGCCGCGACCAGCGCGTTCGGCGTCTCCGCCGTCGGCGGCGCCTCCGGCTGCGCGGCGGGCGGCGGCTCCTCCCCGAGTGGGCGCGTGAAACGACGGGTGAAGCGGGGGGGCGCGGTGACGACAGGGCAGGGGGGGTGGCATTCCTGGTGGGGGAGTTCCTGGTGTGCGGGGTAATTGTTGGGATGCGGGCTGCAGCCCGCACCAGCCCGCACCGCCGCGAACCAAGAATTGCGGGGGGGAACCAAAAATAGGCTGGACTTTCTGGGGCGCGGGCTGGCGCGGGCTGCAGCCCGCATCCCAAGAATTGCCCGCGCGCCCAAGAAGTCCCCGACCAGAAACCCCCAGCCCGCACACCACCGCACCGACGCCGCAGGCGCTCCACGGCCGACGTATCTGCTCCCAACGTCCTGGAGGGAGCACCCCGGCGGCGCGGGAGCGGCCAAGCCCGGCATGCTGGCGAAGACAGCCCCGATGTCCCAGGCGACGCCCGCGAGCGCGGGGGGCGGCGCGGCCGGGACGAGCGCCGCCGCGAGGGCCGCGGTGGGGCTGTCGCCTGCCGAACTGCGCGGCTGCGCGGGGGGCCGGGCGCCCCCTGCGGGGGGGGAGTGCCGCAGCGCGGAGCCCAGGGGGCTGAACGGCTCCGTGGTGGCCTCGCTCCCGGGGCTCGTCAGCAACGTGTCCTCGGAGATGGTGGGGAGACCCAGCCCAGGCGTGGTCGTCCGCGCGTACTTGGCGGGCCGACGGGGCCACGCCACGGCGTCAACCGCCACGAGCTGGCGCTTCAATGCCTGCAGGTCGCCACCCGGGGACCCCAGTGTGCTGGCAGCGCGCAGCGAGGGGGTGCCCGGCGGCGTCGACGGGGCGGCCTCGGGGGCAGGCTGCGACGCGTCGACGGGAGGACAGCTGGAGGCGGCGCCAGAGGCCTCGGGCGCCGCGGCGGGGCCGCCCTGGGCCAGCGCCGCGCCGGGGGCGGCGCCAGGCCCCATGATCGCGCCCGCGTCGGCCGAAGAGGCTGCAGGCGCCGACGCCGCGACGGGGGGGGCGCCAGACTCCACGAGCGTGTCCGCGTCTGCCGACGTGGCTGCCGTCGCCGACGCCGCGACGGGGGGGGCGCCAGACTCCACGAGCGCGTCCGCGTCTGCCGAAGCGGCTGCAATCGCCGACGCCGCGCTGGGGCGCGCGCCAGACTCCGCGAGCGTGTCCACGTCGGCCGAAGAAGCTGCAGTCGCCATCGCCGCGTCGGGGCGGGCGCCCGACTCCTCGAGCGGGCCCCAGGCTGCGGGTGTGGCGGCAGTCTCGCCGGGGCCCTGGGGAGCGCACGGGCGCGGACTCGACCCCGGCGAAGGGTCGGGGACGTCGCCCATCAGAAGTGACAGGGTGGCCTCCAGGTCGTCGACGTCGAAGAGGTCGTCGGCAGGAGCTGGCTGCCCTGCATCCGCGGGGGGCGGGCCCGGCGATGGCGCCGCGCTCGGCGTCGGCGACGCCGCCGTGGCGCTGGTGGCGGGCTGGCCATCCTGCGGCGCACCCGCCCCCTCGATGGGCGCGAGCTGGCCCGCCCGCAGCGGCCCCGGCGCTGAGCCGCCAGGCGCGTCGGCGGGGGTCGGGCACGTGGGCGACGCAGCCCTCGATGAGGCCCCGGGTGTCTTAGGCCCCTTCGAAGACCCTCTCGCACGACCCGATGGCGCAGAGCGCGTGGGGCTCGCTTTGGGCTGCGAGCCGCATGACGCAGCGGTGTCCATGGCGCTCGTGAAGTCGGCCGACGCCTCCAACAGCCGATCACGCACGGACCGCCGCCCGGCGCGGGGCTGCTGGGCGGCGCCGCGACCCATGGGCACCGCGAGGTCTACCGTCTTGATGTCGGGGGTGAGAGGGCACCCTTGAGCTGCGCAGCTGCCCGCGAGGATGGCGATCGGGCCCGACCAGCCCTGCGAGCGCACGAGACGTCCTCGTCGCGCCACCGTCGTGGCGGAGCCACCGACCGGTCTGGCTCGTACGCCGACGGGCGGACCATTGGAGGAGATGCGGGAGGAGGGTGCATGGGTGCGAGGAGCAGAAGGGCGTGGAAGTGCAGGCGGAGGACGAGGACTAGGAGGCGGCGGAGGGGGTCAGGGGGAGGAGGAGGAGGGCGGATAATGGACGAGGAGCGGGGGAGCGGGAGGGATGAGGGACAAGCGGAGGGGAGAGGGCGAGGGGAGAGGGCGAGGGGGGAGACGGCCGCATCCTCCTCAGCAGTGCACCCCCTGCTATTCCCATCCATCCTCCCTCACCTCGGTCTCCACCCTCGTCACCTCGGTGCCCACCCGCGCTGCCCTCCTCATCCTCACCCTGATGAGTCGACCTCCACTCGACAGAGCCCCCGACCCACGCCGCCCGCCCACCCGCGGCCGTCGACGCCCGTCGCGATCGATGAACGACCGATGATCTGACGCTGGCACTGCCCCGCCAAACAGAACGCCCGGTGGTGGCGACGTCCCGTCGCACAACCGAAAAGTTCCTAGACCCGAGGCGGGGTGGTCAAATCCTCCGGGTGGGCGGCGGGGCCCAACTCCCGGATGGCCAAGGCGAAATGGAGGGCCTTGGCATTGGGAAGCGAATTGTCGATGCTCAGCCCCGCGAGCAACCATCGTTTCAACTGCCTAACGCAGCCGGCGTCGTCTAAGGGGAAAGCGCCACCCACTCCGGAATAACCTAGTTTCCGTTTGCAGGTGGCAGCCTCGCCCCGGTTCAAATGAAGGCCACACGTGGCCCCCCACCCGTCCTGGACGAGGCGACCAGCCCGATCGCGCTTAAACGTCGGGGCGATCTCGAAAGGGCCCCAGGGCACCGCGCGCCTCTGGCGCGGAATCGCAGGCAGACCTGGGGGTGGGGGCGGAGGCGGAGGCGGAGGCGGAGGCGGAGGTGGAGACGGAGGCGGAGGTGGAGACGGCGGCCCCGGCGGATCAGCGCTGCCGCCAGGCGCTCCGCCAGCAGCGGCACCCCCGGCGCCGGGCGGCGGAGCCCCGGAAGCGCTGGCCGCGCTGGCGCCGGGCGGCGCGGCTCCGTCGTCGTTCCCGGAGCCGTCGCTGTCGAACGCCTGCTCCGCGTCGTCTGACAGAGACACGTCGGGGACGCCTGACGCGCTGAAGACGGACCCCTGCAGGCCTGCACCCAAAGACTGAAAGGCGGAACCGGCCGGCCCCAGTCGAGGCCCCCCTGGGATGGCGCAGGCCCTCGAGCCCCCAAGCGAACGCCCAGTGGGCCCCGAGAAGGCCCCATCACAACAAGACATCAACGATCTCGACGGGGGTATCAGCTGTCGGGCTTCGCAGAGCCCGACGGGGGGGCACGCTTGGAAGGGCGGAGGGCCACGACGGAGGGGCGGGGACTTAAGGGGGGGCAGGGGGAGGAGGAGGCCGGGGAGGGTGATGATGGGGAGCAGGCGTTGGAGGAGGAGGAGGAGAGGAGGAGGAGCAGGGGGAGGAGGAGGAGGAGAGAGGAGGGAGGAGGAGGGGAGGGGGAGGCGGATCCGAGGAGGAGGCGGAGGCTGCGACGGACGAAGGGGAGAAGGAGGACGAGGAGGACGAGGAGAAGGATGAGGACGAGGAGGGGGGGTGGGGGGGAAGGGGGGTGCGACCGCGCCCCCCGTCCTCATCCACCTCCTCCGCCACCTCCTCATCCTCAGCCTCGTCATCCGCCCCCTCCTCATCTACCGCCTCCTCCTCCTCCTCCTCCGCCTGTGCCCTGATCTCCTGGCTCCATCCTCCACGTCCTCCTGCGCATCTTCTCCCGACTCCCTACTCCTCCTCCTCCTCCTCCTCCTCCTCCTCCTCCCCCTCCTCCGCCCCCTCCCCGTCTCAGACACCGCGTCCGAGCGCCGATCCCGCAAGTCCCTCAGCTGTCAACTGGGCGCCCGCGCGATGCGCGGGGGGCGGCGGCGGGGGCGACCAGCGCGCGAGGTATAGAACCTGTCGAACAGTTTGGCGGCCCTCGTACCAGGGTCAAACATCTGATCGAGAGGGGGCCGGTCGCCGTCATCGACCACTGGGGGCTTGCCCTGGGGGAGCTGGGCACGCGGCCAGGCAGCGCGAGATGCCGAGGTGGTGGTGGTGGCGGGGGGGAGGGGTGGGGGAGGGAGGGGGGGGGGGCCTTCGCCCCGTCGCACACGTGGGCGCCGCCCCCCCCACCCCACCCCCCACGCTCCAACCCCCCGCCGCCGCCGACCCGCCCGTGCACCGCGTGCCGCATCCGGCCACTCAACGACGCCGACGATAGCGTCGTCGCGGTCGGCGTCGTCGCCGTCGGCGCCGTCATCGGCGTCGGCGGCGGCTGGAGGAGGCGCGGAGGGGGGAGATGAGGAGGGGGGGTAGGAGTAGGGACGAGGAGGGATGAGGGATGAGGAGGGAGGAGATGAGGTTGGAGGAGGGGGAGATGAGGAGGGATGAGGGCGACGACGCCGACGGTGACGACGACGACGACGACGGCGTCGACGTCGTCAACGCCGTCATCGGCGCCGCATGGGGACGGGAAGTGCGGGGGGGGGCATCGCGCTAACCCAGCAGAGCCTCCGCGAGGTTCCCGACCACGACGACCGCCGGCCAGCGCGCCTCGATCCGCTGCTCGCCGACGCGCGCGCTGCCCTCGAAGAACGTCGCCTCGACCCTGGAGACGAGGAGGGCGTGCTCGGGGAGCGGGGTGAGGTATGCGAGCACGCGCTTCACCAACGAGACGTGGTTGAGCACGACGAGCTTGCCACAGGCGTCCATGGAGAGCGACACGCCGCCGCTGTCGGTAGGGTGTCCTGCGGCAGTAGCGGGCGGCCAAGAAAGGAACGCAAGGAGGAGGAGGAAGAGGAGGACGACGAGTGGGGGAGGGCGGGCGGGGGGGGGAGGGGGGGCAGGGGCGGAGGGGGAGGAGATGGCGGAGGCGGGTGGAGAGGGCGCGCGCGCGGGGGGGGGGGGGGAGGGCGGGGAAATGGGGGGCGCAGCCGACGGGGGGGGGGGATGGGGGAAGTGGAAGGGTAGGCTGGCAGCAGGAGGGGCACGAAAAAAATACAGTCCTGCCAAGAACAGGACCAAGCGGGGATCGCTGCCGCGCGCGTAGGCCACGAAGAAGTAGCCCTGTGGGGGGGGGGGGGCCAGCGTCGTCATCCATCTCCGGCTCCTCCTGCACCCTCCTCATCGCTCCTCTCCCCCTCGTCATCGGCCCTCCGCCGCCTCCTCCTCCTCCTCCTCATCATCCGCCTCGCCGTCGTCATCGTCAGCCTGCCCAGCAGTATCCTCCCTCCTCCTCCTCACCGTCCTGTGCCTCCTCCTCCTCCTCCTCCTCATCCTCCCCCCCCCATCGGCCTGCTCCCCATCCGCATCCGCATTCGCATCATCTCATGGTCCGTCCCCTCTGCCTCGCCCTCCTCCTCCGCCCCCTACCCTTCGTCGGCGTCGTCCTCGCGCGCATCCGCCCCCACCCCCCCCATTACCCTCCTCCTCGCCCTCCGCCTCATCATCCTCAGCCACCCGGGCGACGAGTGACAGCACGGTCACCCCCCCCCCCCTCCCCCCCACCCCCACCCCCCGAGCCTCGCGACCAGGCACAGGCCCAGAGCCGTCCGCGATCCACACGTGCAGCCAGACGGACGCCAAGGAGTTGCTCCAGACGTGCTGCCACAACGCCTGCCCCGCCGAGACGAGCGCCGCGTAGATGTCCGCATCGTCGTGCGCGCAGACCCCGAAGTGCTTCTGGAAGCAGCAGCGCGCGATGGCGATGCGCCTCCCGCGCGGTATCGACCCCGCATCCGCCACGAAACACTGGCGGCGAAATTCAGCTCGAGCTTGCACCCCCCAGGACATGAAAGACGCGTCCTCGTGCAGCGCGCCGCTGGCCTCGAAGAAGGCGGCGCTGCTCACGGGGGCGTCGATGGAGGAGCAGCCCATCATCGCCGTGGGCGTCCAGGAGCTCGTCGGCGACGTGTCGGGCTCCTGCACCAGCTTGGACCGCTGCTTCTCGAGCTTCGCCTCCTGGACACGACTCTGGTAGACGGCCTGCTGGGCAATGGGTAACGCGTTGAACTCGGCGACCAGTTCGCGGCGGGCATCTGCTGGGGCCAACGTCGGATTCTCGATGAGCTTGTCCTGGACGTGCAGGTTGGCGTACAGTATGCACGCCGGCTGGGCCCTGGTCTGGCCTTTGGGCGGCGCCCACGCCTCGTCTCGCCTAAGCGGCACGCCTGCTCTCCGGGCACTCGCCAACGACTCAACCCGCGGATCCTCGCCGCCTGCAGACACGTGCTGGGCCACGCACTGCGACAGGAACCCGTTGCCGCACACGCGCTCTAGGACAGGGGCCTTGAGGTCGAACGGGAGGGACTGCCTGACCAGAGACAACAAGCGCTCGATGTGCATGTTGCACAGCAAGGCGTGCTTCGCGAACAGCATGTACGCTGACCAGAAGTGCGCGTCATCTAACATCTCTGAATCCGATGGCCATAATCGGCGGAGCTTCCGAGCCAACCGAACCTCCAGGCAACGCAACGGCTTCTGAAACAACCTCGCGACAGCAGCGGCTCGACCATCGGCGGACTCCATGCACCTCATGATCTCGAAAGGAACGTCGCTCAGCGGGACCACGAACCGCCAATGATGTTGCGCGTAGGCGGACGTGAGGATCTGGAAAGCGTGGGTCTTTGCAAGGTGCAGCGCCCGCGGCTCCAGCTCGTAGTGGAAGAAGAGCGCCCTGAGGGGCGCGTCGCCGGCGTCGGGCATCAGCATCCGGATGATCTCGCTCTGGCAGTGCTCGACCGGACTGACGCTCGGGTTGATCACCTCCAAGAGGCCGCCGCCCTTGCAGTCCAGGAACTCTAAGCGTTGCCACATCCAGTGCATCGGCCTTCCCGACCAGAGACTCGCCAACATCCGGGGGGGGAACGTGCTGGAACAATTGACGTCGCGGGCTCGCACCACTTTGCCTCTCAACCACCGCCTGTACTCGTCATCGCTCTCCTGCGGGACGCCGTCCTTCTGGCCAGCCGGGAAGGCCGCGGTCAGCAGGCGTCCGGCAAGCGAGTGCACCATCACGCCAGGGGCTTGCTCGGCCATCGACTCGTCGATCTAGCCCCACCGGTTCGTGGACGGCTCTAGACATCCGGGGCGAAGTACGATGTTGCACTCGTGCATGGCGGTGGCGAAGTTGGCGATGGCGTCGGCCCTGGACCTGCACATGCCGCAGGCACGTTCGAAGTGCCGAATGCGGGGCGAGCGGATGTCCCCGTTCACGAGCCGAACCAACTTCTCGATGTGGCCCTTGACGATGTCGGCACCCTGCGGGGGAGGAGGAGGCGGAGGAGAGGGGGGAGGGGAGGAGGCGGGGAGGAGGACGACGATGATGAGGATCAGGAGTAGGAGGAGAAGGAGAGGGAGGAGGGGGGGGCGGAGGAGGAGAAGGCGCAGGAGGAGGGGGAGGAGAAATGAGAGCGCTGGAGGAGAGGGGGGTGGGGGTGTGGGGGGACCGGGGAAGGCGGGGGGGAGGGCGCGGGTAGGGGGCGGAGGAAGATGCGAGCGAGGAGGAGGGGGAATGAGAGCAGGAGAAGATTGAGGTGGGGAGAATGAGGATGATGAGAGGAGGAGGAGGAGGAGGAGGAGGAGGGGGAGGCAGAGGAGGAAGCGGATGAAGAAGGGGAGGTGGAGAAGGAGGCGAAGGGCGGAGGAGGCAGGAGAGGTGGGACGAGGAGAAGGACGTCGACGACGACGAGGGGGGGCGATGATGATGAGGAGGAGGGGTAGGAAGAGGAGGAGGGGTAGGAGGAGGGGGAGGATGGGGAGAAGGAGGAATGGGAGTACAAGCAAGTGAAGGAGGCGGCGCGGCGCCTGCTTCTTGTTCGGCGCGACGCCAACAGAGTCGACGCGGCCGCGGCAGTCGCGACCAAAGGTGAAGTCCAGCACCTCGCGCACATGCTGGACGCAACGAGGATCGGGAAGCCCGACCTCGTCGAAGACGAAGTCCTCCGAGATGACGTGCTCCAGCTGGGCGACCACCTGGTTGTGGAGGTGGGTGTTGCGGTGCACGACGGTGTGGGCGTGCACGTCGCCGGCGTACTTCTGCTCATTGGTGGCCCCCAGCATGACCCTGTGCTCCTGGTGGACCATGCACATGTCGAGGGGCAGGCTCAGCACGTTTGGTATGTCCAGCAGCTGGGTCTGGACGCGGGCCATGATCCTCTGGTTAGACTTGGCCGCGTCGGGCGCCGTCGCCAAGAGGATGTACGGGACCGTCGCAGCGAGCCGCGGAATCTCCGCGAAAGCCAGCGGGGGCAGAGCTCGGGAGACTGCATCGTACATGGTCGACGCGCGGCCGCTCTGCAAAAAGACGGGCGCGATGGGCAGGTCGCACCATTCCGAGGGGCCATCGACGCACGCCCAAGACACGTGGACGCGCTGAGCCAGCACCTCGAGCACGCCCCGGTCTGGAAGCGCACCCGACGGTCGGCCCTGTTTGTACTCCTCCAGGCTCACGGTGGTCCAACGCCCGTCACCGGCCAGCCGGAAGTACCGCGCGTGCGGTGCGACCTCCGCCGCGAGGCCAGCGAAGCGCACTGTCCACGGAGTGGCGTCGAAGGCGCGACAGATGAACAGGCCAGCGAGGCCGCGGCGCCTCGCATCGGCGAGGCGCCGCGTGAAGGCCTGCTCCAGGGCCCGCTGCGACACCCGCGCGACGGCAGACACCAGCTCCGCCGTGCGCCGAGTGCACCCCAGGGCATTCTTGCCGCGCGAGGCGACCCGTGCCGCGCGGCGCCCCACGCTGCGGTACGCCGCCGCCGGCGCTGGGGGAGGAGGAGGATGAGGAGGCGGAGGCGGGGGAGGGGGGCAAGGGCGGGGAGGAGGAGGAGGAGGAGGAGGGGAGGAGGAGGAGGAGGAAACGAACGACGACCGAATGACGCAGGACACGAAGAGGAGATGACGAGAGGAGGATGACTAGGAGGTCGAGAGGAGAGGAGTAGAGATGAGGGAGGGAGGATAGGAAGAGAAGATGAGGAGGAGGCGGAGGAGGAGGAGGAGGAGAGGATAAACAATGAGGAGAGGGGAGGAGGAGGGAAGGTAGGAGGCGGGCGAGGAGACGGAGGGGGAAGAGGAGGGGGGGGGGAGGGTGAGTCGGGCGACCAGGAACCGGAGGAGGAAGAAGAGGAGGGCCAGGAGGAGCAAGGGGATGCGGGGGGGAGGGGGGTGGGGGGGTGCACGGCGCGGAGAAGGGGCGACGGAGGGTGAGAGAGCGGGTGAGGGAGTGGAGGCAAGAGGAAGAGGAGGAAGGAGGAAGGAGGTGGGAGGGCGATGGGCGGCGGGGGGGGGGACGGGCGGGGTGGCGGCGAAGAAAACGGGGGCCTGGCACAGCGCCAAGTGCCAGGACCGAGGGTTGCGGCGCGCCATGCCGGCGAGCATGGCGCGCTGCTTGACCGAGCCCCCCAGCGCCACCATGTCGCCGACCCGGAGCTGCCTCGATAGGGAGGCGTCATACGTCCTCCGCATCCCCCTCCTCCTCCATCCTCCTCCTCCTCCTCCTCCTCCTCCTCCTCCTCATTCGCCTCGTCCGCATCCTCCCTCCTCCATCCTCCTCATCCGCATCGTCTCTCCTCCTCCGCCTCGTCCCTCCGCCCTCTCCTCATCGCCCTCCTCCCTCCTCCTCGTCCTCGCGTCCCGCCTTCCTCCTCTTCCTCCCTCCTCCTCCTCCTCCTCCTTCCTCCTCCTCCTCCTCCTCCTCCTCCTCCTCCTCTTCCTCCTCCTCATCCTCGTGGGCGCCTCCTGTCGTGGGCCTTGGCGAGCGCGCAGCACTTGGCCTCCAGCTCGGACACCGCGCTGCGCACCCGCCTGGCCATCTGCGCCGCCAGCACGCACTCGTCCTGGGGACGGGCGGGGGGGGGAGGGCGGGCGCGCGGCGCGCGGGGGGGGTGAACACCCGACGCCAGACCTGTCGGCGCCCGCCGCAGGGGGGAGGGGGGGGGGGCGGTCGCAAGGCACGCGGGAGGGTGAACACCCGATGCCAGTCCTGCCGGCGCTTGCCGCGGCGACGGGGCCGGGCTCGATGCCGACGCCGACCTGGCGCCACCGGCGCCGCCGCCGCGAAGCCCCCGCGGATGGCCAAGCCATCGACGAGGCTCGGCAGGCCGAGCTGCTGGCCTTGGGCCCCCGCGGGGCCGCGGACCCACAGGTCCAAGATCGACATTCCAGCCGAAAGGGCTCCGGGCCAGAAGGAGCGGGGATCGAGGCGGGATCGGTGGTCCCAGGAGTTAGGGGGTGATAATATTGAAACGTGGCGGGGCTCCGAAGCAGGCGCTATGAGAGGACGGGGGAGCTCCTCACAAGCCCCGCCTGTGTCCCTGGGCGAACCGGAGGTGTCCACGAAGGCTTCCCAGAAGGAACGGGGGGGGGGGGGCTAAGAACCACGCGCCATGCCGAAGTCGCACGTCCCCTCCCGTCAGTGATGCCCCCATGCCTACCGACCAGCCGTCTCCCCCGACACGTTCCCATTCCACTACCCACCCCTCCCCCCGAATCGCCAACACCCCACCCCGCCCCGCCCCGCCTCTCTCCCCCCCTACACCCAACCCCCCATCCCCCACCCACTCACGCACGCGCGCACGCACGCACGCACGCACACGCGCGGGCGCGAACACACGCACGAAAACCCACCTTCGCGCCCACGCACGCACGCACGCGCTCACACACACGCGCACACACGCGCACACGCGCTCACGCTCGCACGCTCACACGCACGCCACCACGCACGCACCAACGACACACTACGACGACACACTACGACAACGACGACGACGACGACGACGACGGTGACTCCCACCACCACCACCAACACAAACATCAACACCACCAGCACCACCCGACACAAAAGCCCCCCCCCCTCCGAAAGCGACGAACAACCGCCCACCCACCCCAAACGACCTCTCTACACGGCCGCCACCCCCGCCCCCGCCCAAGTGCACCTCCCCGCTACCAACCCCAACAACCACTCCCACCCCGCGCCCCCTCCCACGGCCCCTCCAAAGTGTTTTAAGAACAACAGCAACAACAACAACAACAACAACAACAACAACAATCATTTTACCCGAACGCGTGGTGTTCTCCCCAGTGCCAGGGTTTTCATACGACACCAGGCAATACCCCCACTTCGTGGGGGGGCATTACAAGCTCTACCAAATATCCAAGCGACTCTTCGCGACCACCCAAACCCAGCTTCCCGCCCTATGACGTTGGGACACTTCACTTCGTGGCGTGCGGACGACCGTGGCTACTACACTGGCGTGGGGTACACACCCACAGAACTTGGTCACTTATTCGGGGCGCGCATGTGCCCAGCATGGTGCAATTGTGCCATACAATACATAATACAGAGAGACAGAGAGAGAGAGAGAGACAGAGAGAGAGAGAGAGAGTTGGTCACATTTTTGGGTCAAGTTTTGGATGATGGGAATACACAACTCTGTTACATTTGAAAAGTCGTGCAGGTGTTTTTCGAGGACCTACGGTGCGATTCGTGTGATTTTATGATGCGCGGTGCTAAAATTCTTAAGAACCCAATGGTTTTTGGAGATTTCGGCGTGCGCGCGCGAAGAAAAAACGAATGTGTCCCGCATGGTATTATTTGACAGGGATGATGGCCCTGGCAGGTGCGCAACCGTTGTCGCAGAAGTTCGAAAAAGTTGCTCGCAAAAGCCCGTTTGACAGAAATGTTTAAAAAGTGTTGGTTTTCCTACGAATCCGCAAGAGCGCGCGGGATGAGATTTTGACATTTTTTTGTTGAAAAACCATTGGTTTTTTGATGTTTTTATGTTAAAATCGCTCCGAACACTAAGCTTTTGGAAGGATTTCGTCTTGCGCGCGCGAATGTCCACTTTACCTTATTTTTTGCAAGGGATTCTTGAAATTTGATTATATTAGAACAAGAAATGTCATTTTATAGTGTTTTTTGCAAGGGAAAGCGGGGGGGAACAAAACAACCGGATCCGGTACTAATCCACTTTTCTGAAGCTTTCGCGAAAAAATAATGAAAATGTAGCTGCGGCCTAGGTTTTGGAGGGGGGTCGTGTACCAGG